AAAACCAAAGCATGTGTTGTTTAAGATAGGCCTATTCTTATTTTTTATTTTACACATATTTATTTATTTAAATGATTTTACTGTAATTTTGTAATTTTACTGTATTGGTTTACTTGTTCTAATTCATTCTGTTGCAGCCATGAATCACTTGATACAAATATAAATAGAGTTTGCATTTACATAGCCTACATTTAAACAATACTTAAATTACTCTCTTAGCTAAAAGGGTTTGCACTTAAAATGCTATTTATAAAAACAACTAACTTTTCGCTCCGCACTCTGTCAAATCCTTGGTTCAGTCTAAATCAGCTCACTCATCTGGGTCTAATTACAAATCGAGATTGTTCGAAAAAAAAAAAAACGGTTCTCGGTAACTGCCCGGACAGATTAAACTCAAATTGAAAAGAATGTGCAACTGATTCATTGAAAAGATACGATTCATTGAAGTGAATCTGATTCTTTCGAAGACTGATTCGTTCATATGTCGGACACAGCAAGTTGTCATATCAATCAGTGCGCGTCTGACGGTACAGTTCCCACTGTTTCCCACTATTGCCATTCCAGTGTAAGTGCATTTATCCCGCCTCGGCACTTTAAAATGTCAGTGTAAAGGCACCTTATAGTGATATGTAGAATATATAGCCCCCCCCAGCACAAAAGTGAAACTCCGCCTATTTTGAAGACCCCGTGTATGAGGAGACAGTCTGTACCGGGTATGGTGTGTGCTTTTGCACGGGGATGTTTAGTACAGAAGTGACCGATAGCTGGACCGACGCCGACTCTCGTTTCTAACTGTAAACACGTGGATAGATCAGCTGTTTTACACTGGAGCTTCACAACCAGAGCTTCTCTGGGCGCGTGGTACAGTTTGACAGCGCGCCTGGTTGATTTTAAAGGGATTAAAGTTGTTTTACTACCTCAGAATGAGTGACCTAGAGGAAGACTTTGCCAAGATTTTAATGCTGAAGGAGGAGAGGATACGAGATCTGGAAAGACGTTTGCTGGAGCGAGAAGACGATATTAACGAGCTAAAGAGAAAGCTGCACAAATGTCAGTCCGTTTTACCGTGCGCGCAGATCGGACCACGGACACACCGCGCGCAGGGAATATCAGCCGAACCGCAGACGCACCAGGATTTATCAAACCAAATCTTCAGGAGAGTTGCCAAATCTGACAGGTGAGATTTCGCAAGTATTTAACATATGCAAGTAATGCTTCAATGGCTTTGCACAAGTCTTGAGTCATGACTTTTAATAGTTTGGCACTTCGTTGACATTACTTGATTTGATTCTATCTGTAGATCATTAAGTGTATTTGAGGTTGACGATTCAGGACATGAATGAAGAAACTCATGATGACAGAGCATCTTTGTGAAGCTTCAGAGAGAGGAGGAGGTGAGGGATATAGAGTGTATCATTGATCTAAAACATCATCACCATCATCATCCTCTCCCAGAGGGCTCTGAGCACAGGAAGCTTCATGCATTATCGGCTTTTAGGGTTTGAACGTGTAGCGCCCAAGAGCCTGTCTCAGGATATTTAATACGCCATTAGAAAGTGCTTTGTTTGACCATATGCTTCCCCTTCCATCAGCCCTATTTTCTGGGCATCTTTGTAGAGGATTTGACTGAACTTTCTAAGGGTTGCTTATTGCTTTAGGCAAAATTGTTATTTTGAAAAATGCTTACAACTAATACACAAGCACACACACACACACATACAGTATATGTATATATATATATATATATATATATATATGTGTGTCCCGCTGACTAGCATTAAACAACTTGAAAGCTCAAAGACCATTTTTTATATAACTCCGACTGGATTCGTCTGAAAGAAGAAAGTACACCTAGAATGCATTGAGGGTGAGTATTTTATATGCTAATTTTCATTTTTGGGTGAACTAAACCCATTAACATGTATTTTCAGAGGAGAATTCCCAGTGAACGGTGTCATTTAATTAAGAAATAGTAGAGACTTTGTCTCCTCAAGATTTGAAAGTGAGATCTTGGTGTCATCTAAAAAAAGAACTGGTGCACTTGTAAGGGTCCCAAAGAGACAAAATGGCGGCAGATGTGAGTCTGTGGCGGAAAAGGGCAGCCACACTAGTCATGTTACAACAGATCCTCTTTCCATCGATCGACAGAGGAAGAACCCTGCAGGAAGAGTTTATAGAGGTGAAATTTAAAGCCTGTTTTTCTGAGAGAGGTCCTTTCAAGGACAGTGACAGTTAAAAAGTGATGGAAACGAGCAGCAGAATGAACGAATCTTGCATTCCTTGTTTGTTATTTTCAGGCATTGTTTAGATGAATTGTTCTTTGTGTATTATTTTTGACTTCTTTAACTATCCAAAGAATGGTAGACATCTGGGTGCTGTTGTAGGCCTTTGGGATCTTTTCACAAGCGGTTTCAGATAGCAAAGATGAGGGTTTGTTTCATGCCCGCCTGCTCATACTGTCTTTGTGTCTCTTTAAGCTTTGTCCTCACCAGTTTTTAGTTTATTAATCAGCTAAAGCTTGCAAAGAGAACATTTCAGGCCCAAAAAAGGCATCCAGATCAGATGCACAACGGTGCTTGGATATAGTCCACTGTTTCTTCAGAGAGTATTATTATCACTTAATTTATATATTAAGAATAGATAGCCCTATATAGCATCCATAAACAGATATCATTGTTCTTAGGCAGGGCTGTGACGTTAAACACCTCTGTTTGTCCTGCTTGTCTCTATAAATAGTTGCATTTTATGTTTGAAAGGTTCTATATAAATAAGGTTTTATTATTATTATTATTATAAAAATCACTAGCCCTCGGATCTTTTCATTGTTCCTGTGTGTCTTTCATAGTTTGCCACCAGAGGACGCCGTATGTCCTTTTATAAACTTAAATACAAACTCAAACATGATGCATCTCTACCAGCTAAGCTCTCCACAGTGGAGATAAATCAAGCTATGTCAGTGAAATATTAGAGGTGACTAGGGCTAACAATTTATTCCAGTGAATGAATATTTCTCAGATAGGTTTAGTTTTAAAGGCAATATCTGTGTAGACACATACGGCAAGTTATGGCATTTGATCATTTCCAGTCATTACTGTCCAAGAATAAAACACAACCTCTCAAAAATAAAGGTTACAAAAGTGGGTGTCCACAGCGATGCCGTAGAATAAATATTTTGGACCACAGATTCCAATAAAGAACCTTTATTTTTAGTTGTCACAATGGAAACCATTAAATAACCTACACTCTAAAAAATGCTGGGTTAAATACAACCCAATTGCTGGGTTTGTCCCTATTTTACCAAGCACTGGGTTGTATTTAACCCAGCATCTTTTAGAGTGTATAGGCTTTTTGAAAACAGTAAAACTAGGGGTCTTCAACAAGGTGTCTGTGCTGGTATAGCAGAGAAATATCAAACCATTCTCTGGCCAACAGAAATGGTATTTTATACATTCTATTAAAATGCCAACATATAAAACAGCCTACGTGACAACTTGCCCGACCTTGTCTTAAAACCCAGAAAAGCCTTCATTATAGTTGAGTTTTGTGTTAAAGTTTGGACTTTCATGACCTCATATCTCCAGGTTTTAGGGATTCTAATTTAATTTAGCTCTTAATTAGGTTTTTGAAACCAATTGCAAGAAAAACTGCTAAAAAAACCCCAGAGAAATTATGGATATTTTTATATAGTTCTACACTATTGTAAAGTTTTTGTCTAAAAAGTTGAACGGTTACCACCTGTACAGAGCTGAACATCCATATATTCAAACTCAAGCATGATTAAATGGGTTAAATACAACCCAGTGCTGGGTAAAATAGGGACAAACCCAGCAATTGGGTTGTTTTGACCCAGCGGTTGGGTTAAATGTTTAACCCAACCTTCTGGGTAGTAACCCAACCGCTGGGTCAAAACAACCCAATTGCTGGGTTTGTCCCTATTTTACCAAGCACTGGGTTGTATTTAACCCAGCATCTTTTAGAGTGTATAGGCTTTTTGAAAACAGTAAAACTAGGGGTCTTCAACAAGGTGTCTGTGCTGGTATAGCAGAGAAATATCAAACCATTCTCTGGCCAACAGAAATGGTATTTTATACATTCTATTAAAATGCCAACATATAAAACAGCCTACGTGACAACTTGCCCGACCTTGTCTTAAAACCCAGAAAAGCCTTCATTATAGTTGAGTTTTGTGTTAAAGTTTGGACTTTCATGACCTCATATCTCCAGGTTTTAGGGATTCTAATTTAATTTAGCTCTTAATTAGGTTTTTGAAACCAATTGCAAGAAAAACTGCTAAAAAAACCCCAGAGAAATTATGGATATTTTTATATAGTTCTACACTATTGTAAAGTTTTTGTCTAAAAAGTTGAACGGTTACCACCTGTACAGAGCTGAACATCCATATATTCAAACTCAAGCATGATTAAATGGGTTAAATACAACCCAGTGCTGGGTAAAATAGGAACAAACCCAGCTCTCCATAGTGGAGATAAATCAAGCTATTTAAGCAATGCCAGTGAATTTTAGAGGTGACTAGGGCTAACATTTTATTCCAATGAATATTTCTCAGGTAGGTTTAGTTTTAAAGGCAACATCTGTGTAGACACATACGGCAAGCTATGGCATTTGATCAATCCTGACTGTCCAGGAATCCCGCGCGAGCGTTCCGTGGAGTCTCCATAGTGGAGATAAATCAAGCTATTTAAGCAATGCCAGTGAATTTTAGAGGTGACTAGGGCTAACATTTTATTCCAATGAATATGTCTCAGGTAGGTTTAGTTTTAAAGGCAACATCTGTGTAGACACTATGGCATTTGATCAATCCTGACTGTCCAGGAATCCCGCGCGAGCGTTCCGTGGAGTCTCGAGCTCCACTCATTCATCACGTCACTGCCCACGAGCGACGCGCGCTCAGCCTCACACGGATACGCTCCTGTCAGAGCTGTGAGGATTTCCGCGGAATTGAGCGCCGATTCTTTCCTTTTCCTTTTTTTACACGGATACACTGAGAGACCGTTTCCCCCAAAGGCTCTTCTCGTTTTTGTTGTCCTGTAGGTCATCTTTAGAGTAGAATAGAAGCTGGTTTAGTGCATAGTATTGCTTTCCTCTCAGTAAAGTTACTAAAAGTGCAGTTCTGGGAGGTTTTGTTCGGTTCAGAAGGGATGATGATGGGGACTTTACGCGACCTCCAGTACGCGCTACAGGAGAAAATTGAAGAACTGAGACAGAGAGACGCGCTCATTGACGAACTGGAGCTGGAACTGGATCAGAAAGACGAACTCATTCAGAAACTGCAGAACGAACTGGATAAGTACCGCTCCGTGATCCGCCCGGCTACCCAACAGGTCCAGAGCCGCCCGGAGCTGCAGGAGCATCAGCGCACCAAACGCCAGGCGATCAGCGCCGAACCAGCCAACGTCCAGCAGCTGAGTCACGTGACCCTGCCCAACGTCCCCAAGAGTGCCAAGTAGGTTAACGCGAAAAAATATAACATTGAAATGATTAAATACGACATCAAAGTAATCGAATAGTAAACCATCGAACGCGTCAATAAAACCATTCAATAGGCCTACCACCTAAAACAATCAATTTAAATTCCACTTTAAACTTTAATACAAAGTAGAGTCATCACATACCACATTATGCTTTCTTTAAAAAGTTGAATTTGTTATTTGACGAATTGAATGTTGAATTAAAGCCATTAAACACCTCATAAAGCTCTATAAATAAATAATTAAATTACCTATGACGTAGCCTACAAATATCACTATACAACAGCAGTGTAACCATGAGGAACAACTTTCTTACAGTATAAAATAAAAAACCACCCAGCTCACAGTTCTCTGTTTTTTTTTTCTTTTTCAACTTTTGAATCTGACAAAATCCATTCCCACAGAACCCAAGGTTAGCTTAAACCAGGGGTGCCCAAACTCGGTCCTGGAGGGCCGGTGTCCTGCAGAGTTTAGCTCCAACTTGCCTCAACACACCTGACTGGAAGTTTCTAGCATGCCTAGTAAGCGCTTGATTAGCTGGTTCAGGTGTGTTTGATTAGGGTTGGAGCTAAACTCTGCAGGACACCGGCCCTCCAGGACTGAGTTTGGGCACCCCTGGTTTAAGCACTGTAACAAGGATGGATCCCTACAAGGAGACAAGAAGCTTCTCTTCAGAAGATGCCTCAGTACACCAAATATTTGCATAGTGTGTCATACTGTGTATTTGGACACTGTATACTGATTTGACATACTGCTTTTTGCATAGATATTATAGACAAGAAAAGAATGCATGCTGTATACTTTACTGAACTCACCAGTTGTTCTTCAGAACATCATCCATAAAAAACGACCGTCGTTTTTGCTAAAATAGTAACTAGTAAATATGTTATTTTTACACAGTTTTTTTATCCACGTATTTCATCAAGTAAACAGTTTTAATGTAGCAACACTAACTGGAGTAACTATGGTATTTTGGCAATGGTTTCCATGGTAACTTTCTTGAAAAGGACGGCAATAACATGGGCTGTGCAGGTTGCACAATTGAAATCATTATGATGTCTGTAATCTCAAAATCTCAAAATTCACAGAGACAAATTCATTATATTTTATTCAAAATGCCATTCATTCACATTTGCAGAAGCATGTCATTGATGACGCTCCAAGAAAGTTGATTTTCCACAAGGAAACATCTGAACCAGGAATAACATGTCCGTACTGAGCAGTTAATAGGAGCATTGATGTGGGAAATACCCAAAGACTATAATAACTGCTTTGTTTAACGGACTGGTCATTTGCTTATCAAAGCAGCATGATGTCATGCAGCAGGTGGATCACGAACACTATTTACATGCTCAACTGTTATTATGCACACAATAGTGTGTCGTGTTGTGTTGTAATTGAAATAGACACTGTCAAGACGGAGGACCTAATCAGACTAAACGGTTCCCCTGGAAGTGAAGGATTTTTGCATTTCAGCCTGCTGTCATGAACACACAGACTCCTAAATTAATTTGCATCTAGTGGTTTGGCAGCAGAGGAACATCATTCTTCTGTTTCTGACCCGCATGCCTCCCCCATCTGCTGTGCATCTGACATTTGCAACACTGCACTAATTTACAATGTAACCTTGTTTTGTACAGAAAAGCCCTTTGAACCATATCGCAGCAGAGTCTTTTCTTCTATTCTGCTTGCATCTTGAGCTGATCAGCACTTTAAGGAATGATTATGAAGATTTAAAAGAAAAAAGCTTTCATAACAGCATGTGTTGGGCTGCCAGATGGGAACGAACTGGCATCAATATTGCTTTACACTTCGAAAGCTCATAATGTGTTGGAAGATGATTCTATATCTTTGTGTGTGGTCAGGGAGATGACTGTTATTTTGGATGAAAATCCATTTATCTTTATTTTGTGTGTCTTTTTTGCTGATGCATTAATGTATCCACTGTCCTGTTGCTTTTTTTTTTTCTTCAAAGTAAAGGCAAATTGTGCTTTCGCCAAAATTCATAATAGGAATCATATTAAGTGACATACCTCGTTCTTTTCTTTCAGTGGAGTGTTTTTGCCATTTGAATGTCACTTACAGTGTCTCTATCTCATAATTGCATCTTGTTTCTTCCTGTTTCTGATTCGTTTTTGCATTTAAAGGGATCATCGGATGCTACATGCACTTTTACAAGTTGTTTGAACTAAAATGTGTGTTAGCAGTGTGTGTACACAACCACTATATAATGATAAAATCCACCCAGTGTTTTTTTTTAAATTTGAGCTTGCGCGATTTCTAAATCGCTTTATAGCACGATTTTCTGCACCCCCGACCTCCCGCAGTATGCTATCCGAACCAATCAGAATGCAGCGCGCCTAAATGGAGTACGAGAACAGAACAGACCGGGCGGGCATGCAAACGTAACGCCAGGTTCACACACTCCGTCTGTGGTGCGTATTTTTTCCGCGCCCATGTTAACGGATCAGAATGTTCACACTGCACGTGATTGCGGTTCGGCAGTGCGCTCCAGGAGCGGTGCATCTGCAGCAGTCATGCTGCGATCGTTTCCGCACGGAATCTATTTCTGCTGTGCTGCACACTCTGAATTAAAGTGACAGCGGATTATTCGCGGTAAAAATTAACATGGAGTGACACGGAAATTTAGTAATTACACCATAAATGCATATTATTAAAGTCTACTGTTTCACAGTCAACACATGGCTTTTTGGCTAGATTTAAAACAAGGAATGCTGCTTCTGCACCGCATACACATACTGTATACGCACTGCAGACGGAGTACATGTGAACTTATCTGAGGCAACGCCACAAAGAGCTCTATGACCAATGCATGGATTTTTTTTTCTCATATGTCTATAGAGACATTTTGTTACACCTTTACTTAGTGATTATTCTGCCTTATGTCTGTTCTAGAGACATGTTACAGCTTTTTGATAAAGCTCTAATTGGTTTTCTTTTGGAAATATGTTTCAAATTCACACTGAATGCATTAATGACTGTAAAGCATGTCTGTGTGTGTCAAAATCGTGATTAAAATCGAAATCGCAAAATTGATCAAAGAAATCGCGATAGGTTTTTTTTGTCCATATCGCACAGCCCTACGTTAGACCCACCCTGAGTGAGCTGTCATCAGTTCTCCATTGTTTCACTGATGGAGCAGATGTAGTCAAGAATGACTCCTAAGCGATTGAGGTGTCCTGTTGTTGGATGTAATAATGTAGCAGTCGTCATTTACTCCTGACATCTGAGCCGCTGAAGACGCAGTGGATTACGTTTGTTTTTGAAGGGAATGCGCCCCGATCTACCTAAATGCGTTAAGAAGTGAGCATAAGATTTTTTAATGAATCTTTGCAAATCACCTTTCCTAATAATGTGCTAATTAGCATACAAAAACATTCAAACCCATTATATAAAAGAGGCATTTGTTGCATGCAGTGGGGACATAATTACTGATTATAATGACTTATACTGTCTTTTTACGCGTTGCGTTGCATTGCATCGTGCCGCGTAAACATAAAACTCTGTCTGCATTTGTGATCGGAGAAATGACAAACAACAAGTGCTACTCCACACTGCCCAAAACTCGCGTTTGAATCATCCGTAGCAAATGATAAAAGAAAACGTACTTACTTGTGTCAGAACTGCCGGCATTTTAGTCTAACGTTACTCTCCCAGGATCAGTAAACAGTCCTCCATAAAATGTGCCGGCGAGCCACAGCACTAAGTTGATGTATTCCCTCAGCAACCAGCACAGATCAGCTAGTTTCGCTTTCACAACGAAGCACACAGCGTCTTCAGGACATGGCGGCAGCGGCAACAATACTACAGTGAGAATAAAAGTTACGCCTTCTTTCTTTGCGTGAACATTTGGGCGGTGTTATGCAAATCGTCCCACATAGTGAGGTAGATATGTGGGGGCGTGTTAGAAAGAGCCGTTTTAGGTAGGCGTGGTTGACTCTTAACTTTTATAAAGAATATCTCTTTGGATTTGAGACTTTAGTCTTTGCAAATTTACAGATCTTCTTTATGCACCAAGAGCTTGTAACACTCCAAAGAGAAAGAAAAAAATGAAATCGCATCATATGACCCCTTTAAGGAATTTTAACCAAACTATGTTACAGATTTTCATTAAGACCCTAAAGAATCATGTCAACTTGTGGAAAATGGGCATCCGATGACCCCTTTAACCTTGCAGTGGGATTTGATACACTTAAAATTATGAAATACCAGACTTTTTTTTTTTTGAAGTCTTGATTGGTATGTCTCTTCTGAACTCATCTCTGACACCTGGGCTGTCTGAGGTCTTTTGAAATATCAGAGATCAGAAGTTCTGCTCTGAAACAGGAATGTCTGCACTGGACCCTTTGTCCTTTGGATATGACAATTCATGACACGCTTCTGAAAACTTTGTCATGTTTCTTTGTGTAGTGGTTAAAGCTGCAAGATTGCAGGTTGGATCTCCGGAAGGAAAGAACCATGAGCCTGTAAAACATGAATGGTAGAAATAGTTTATTTGAGCTTTATTTTAATAACCAAAACTGCTTTTTTATAGATTTAGTTCTAGTTTTAGTACTTATACCTATTACAGGAATTGAAAATGCCAATATGGCTGCAGAGTGGACTAACTTGGGAGTTAGACTTAACCAGACTGATTCAGGTTGATTGTTCAAGGCTGTTCTATTATGACTTTGTACAAAGGTGGCAGAGTCAGAATATGGCTAAAAGCGACCACAACAATGCATTTTGCATTTATAGACATAAGCACCCTGTTGAAAAAAAAAAACAGCATATGCTGGTTAGGTGTGTTTTAAAGCATGGCAGCTGGTTTGAGCTGGTTTAAGCTGGTCCTTAGTTGGTCATGAGCTGGTTTAAGATGGTCTTGAGCAGGAGCTAGTTTCTTAACCAGCTTAGGACCAGCACATGACCAACTTAAACCAGCTCATGACCAGCTAAGGACCAACTAAGCTGCAGCTTAAACCAACTCAAACCAGGTGCCATGCTTCAATGTGCTATATAAATAATTTACATTTTAAATTTAGTTTTTAACTGGGCATCAATATTTTTAAATCTGCAATGCAGTTTTCATACAAAAAATATATATAGGACAGATTATTTGCGGCTTCATTCTGCAGCCTAGAAATAAATCAACTTAGTCATTCATTTGTCTTAGGTAATTATGCACTGTCATGTGCAGTATGAGCTGTTATCTGCAGTCTGACTTTGCTTCCTGTTTTAGCATTCTGCCCAGAAAATGGACAGAACAAACAGAGGAAGATATGGCCATTAATTCATTAGCACACACATCTACAGACAACCACAGAGCTACCGATGGCTTTCCAATGAGGCCAGATTATGTGAATCAATACAGATTCTTGGGACAGTTCTCTGCACCAGTAACAGAATTCATTCAAGTCAAGTCACCTTTATTTATATCGCACTTTATACAATACAGTTTGTTTCAAGGCAGCTTCACAGTAATAAACAGGAAAATAACATAATCATTTAAGGCAAACTTCATCAAATATGAGACAAATTCAAATTCTGCTGTAAAGTTGCTCTAACAAGACAATAGTTTCATCATTCATCTCGAGTGTTTAGTGTTGTTTAGTACAGTTCAATAACTGTAAACTTCATCAATTATGAACGAGTTCAGTTCAGCAACAAGCAGATCTACAGAAGAAAATAGTGTCATTATTCAGCTTGTGTTGGTTCAGTGTTGATTCATTTCGGTTCAGTAACAGTCTTAATGTTGCAAAATTCATTCTCCAGTTTCAAGTATTTTAAATAATATTCATTTGACAAGAAATGTTGCAAGACAAACAAAAGGCCTACTAATAAGAAACTTTTTTGCAGACATTCAGCCATTGTAGTTCCATGTCCACAGCTTTCTCAAATTTACTCTGCTTTAATCCTTAGCATACTTTGTCCTTTTAAGGGAGACAGTCTGTCAACCTGTGTGATGTGAATGTCCTCCTGAAAAAGGCAGTGAGTAAAATTCTAAGTCAAACAGAGTTTGGGATGGTTACAGGATGATTCGGAGGTCATCTGCTGTAAATGAGGCCAGTGATCTCTGTGCTTTTACTGGATGTAAAACATCTCCCATGACTGTTCCTCCATAGAGCCAGTGTCCTCTTGAACACAGACTGCCTTAAAAAATACCACACAAGTCTTGGAGGGATTACTCAGATATTGCTTTGCATGTAAACACCTTTACGGACCTTCTGGTGGCTTATTTGTTATGTCTTGTGTGCATGTCGGTTCATGTTTTGACATGATGTCTTGTCAATTCAAATTCTATTCTATTTGCAGCTGGATTTGAGTATGCACTAGTTATACTGTAAGGCTGTTGCTGTGAAATAGTGTAGCTTGAGATCCCAGTTGTTTGTCTAAATATAATTGGGATTAAAGGAATAGTTCACCCAAAAATTTAAATTTACTCACCCTTAGGCCATCCAAGATTTTGATGAGTTTGTTTCTTCATCTGAACAGAGTTTGGAGAAATTTAGCATTATATCACTTGCTCACCAATGGATCCTCTGCAGTGAATGGGTGCCGTCAGAATGAGAGTCCAAACAGCTGATAAAAACATCACAATAATCCACACGACTCCAGTCCATCAATTAACATCTTGTAAAGAGAAAAGCTGCATGTTCGTGAGAATCAAATCCATCATTAAGGTCTTCTTAACTTTAAATTGTTGTTTCTGGCCTTTCTCCATAATATTGCTTTCTCCAGTGAAAATTATATATTGTCTGAATCAGGAGAGAAATATGCACAGATCAAGTGCAATTTACAAGTGAAAACAGTCTAAAACAGTTTTAAGCAAGTATGTTGTGGATTTTGATATGAGAGAACTGGGGATGGGGTTTTTTTTACTGGAGAAAGTATTATTATAGATAGAAAACTTGTATTTTGGCCAGAAGCAACCGTTTAAAGTTCAAATGGCTTAATGATGGTTGATGGATTAATTTTTTTCTAACAAACAATCAGCTTTTTACTTCACAAGAGGTTAACTGATGGACTGGAGTCATGTTGATTTTTGGAGCTTGTGGATTATTGTGGTGTTTTTATCAGCTGTTTGAACTCTCATGATGGCACCCATTCACTGCAGAGGATCCATGGTGAGCAAGTAATTTCTCCAAATCTGTTCCAATGAAGAAACAAACTCATCTATATCTTGGATGACCTGGGGGTGGGTAACCACTCCTTAACTACTCCTTTATATTGAAAACAAAAGAAGATGTTTGCTGATATGTCTTGCTTCTTAAATATTTCTCCTCAAGACCCTACTAATCTCAATATGATCTCAAATATTGCTCATCAGATTCCTGTAACACCAAATCAACTGAGCGATGCTATTTACTTTTATTTTATTGGTCTTTAATTTTGTTATAATGTATGTCAACAGTTGTCTCTTTTCTTTCTATTTTTATATCTTAAGGTCAATACAATTTTCCTCAGGGTGAGACTGTCCGTGTGTGTTTGAGTCAAATAAAAAATCTCTTCGTAAGGTACTGCAGACATCTTAAAAAAATAAAGGTCTGTTTTTGCTCACGGTGGAGCATGTCTGTGGAATGTAAACACTGTGTGGTTCATAGGTGAGCGTTTGTGGGTTTTAGCAACTAAATCAGAAGACTGGCTGAAGTCCAGGACAACAAGAGCAGAGGAGCTGCTGTCACAGTAATAGGCTTTTTGTTGAGGAATGCTCGGAAATGTAATATAAACAGCGATTATGTCATTTAAAGAGCACACTCCACCATATCAGACCAAGTTGTCCATCCACTAGCACTTGAGCAATTTAATGCCATTAGCAAAACTAAATGGATTTGCAAAAAAATAATGGCTTAAATTGCCCAATGACTTTCTAAACAGGTTTTCAAAATACTCGTCTTCCATTTTTCGGTCAAACAGATCCACTTCAAAATTGTTGTACAAGAGGTTCCGTCTGGCAAACAAAGCAGTGTTTTGAGAGGCACAGTGTTTACACTCTTCATAAGTCAGTCTCTGTAGTGAAGTATTTTATCATGAAAATTAGAGAACAGCTGATTTTTCACAGAAAACTCTTTGGAAATTTCATTTCAGAAAAGGTTCGTTACTTAGTTCATGTGTGGGAGGTTACATTGACTTTTAATTACTTGAAATGTGTGTACAATGTGTGTCTGTGATGCAAAGCTCGTTTTCAGCTAGTCTGATTTTTGTTTGCCGTGACGTCCAGCAGATTTTGTGTATTTACTTTCAGCTCTTGAAATATCCTCTTCCCTTCATCTCTTGTTTTTCTAAACCCACATTCCTTGTGGATTCATTGGATTCACATTGGCTATGTTTGGATTACCGTACTATCATTCAGCTCTTACTGTCTACAGTGTATATAATATGCATAGTGTGCAAATTTTAATACCTGGATGACACACTACATCTGCCAAAATGTGTACAACAGAGTACATTGTATTGGATGCTGTTTCCCATATTGCAATGTGTTTGCATTGCCTTCCAATTTCATGTGATGAATGAAACTGCCAGCCATGCTTAATAATATTAATAGTATCAGCTGTTTTACATTTTTTTCTACTCATAGTTTGATTGAATTGCCAAAAGTTAAGATTAAAAATGATAAGTGGACACCATTCATGTAATTAAATGTGCACATAATCATAATGAGTTCATGAGGTCATATTGTAGTATGACACTGTTTACAGTTGCATAATGCATTTAGTGTCACAACAATTGTTTGAATAGTTGTATTTAGTGTATTCTGAGCAATAACCAGCGAGTTTCTATTTCAGGCATAGTCGTTGTCTTTACTATGTTAAAGAAATGACATGGACCTTTTTAACAATGTTTTCTGCACTGTACAGGTCAAAGGAACTGATAAAGTCAGCTATTCTGGACAATGACTTCATGAAGAACCTAGAGATGTCTCAGATCCAGGAAATAGTGGACTGTATGTATCCAGTGGACTATGACAAAAACAGCTGTATTATTAAAGAAGGGGATGTGGGCTCCCTCGTCTATGTCAATTATACATCATATATGATTTACACAAGCACATAATTTTGACAGAATAATCTCTCAGTAATACACAATAATGGCCTTCTAACATACATGAAATAAATGCATGCAGGTTCAGTAATGCTTCACATTTCTTTGAACAAAAATAATTAGACGGTGCTTGTATGCAATACTTTGAGAATGTGCATGACATGACTTGTTAGCGCATTTAAGCAGTGTCATGAATGAGAGTATGTCCTTAGTCAAAATATATTTAGTCAAAATACATACAAGCATACTTTTCTGTCCATGTGATATATTTTTTTAATCATTGTGGATGTGGTCTATCACTAGTATTTACATATTTGTTTAGGGGGGGGGGTTACAATGCTGTTTCATGCATTCAGAGTTGTTTACACTGTTAAAGAGTTGGATTCTCATGCTAAGCATGGACAAAGTTTCAAAAAACAATTTGGACGTATGACAGAGTATTTCTCTGCCAAAAATCTTCCAGGTTTGTACAAGTTTCGGAGAGTTTTTTTCGATCGTGGCTCTTAATGACGTAAACGAGGGTGGAACTCCTTATATGGGCATTTCTCCCGGACGAATGCGCCCGCGCACGCATCGACCAGAGCAAGAGCGAGATCGCGCCCATCAACGCGCTTCCTCCGGTGGCAGCACTGCATGGGACTTGCTCGGGAAGAATGTCTCCAATCCAAAGAAGTGTGTTTTTGGTTGTAAGGGAAAGATAACTTTGTTCAGCTTACTGAAGAACCCAGCGTTATGTAAACAGTGGATACAGTGTGTCAGCAACGGAGTTTCACAAGTGTGTTTGTTGACGAACGTTTATAAACAAGGCCCAGTTCGACGCTGGATTTGCACATCGTTTGATACTGAAAGATGGAGCGGTCCCAGCTATAAAAGATCCCGCTCATGATTCAGAACTGTAGACGGTAAGTGGAACGGCATCAAATGTCTGTTTTGTTGGCATTTGGCGCCCAAGTGCTCATCACTCTTTAGCTCCACCCACGGCGCGCCTCCAGGAGCTCGGCTTTTTCCGGAGAGAATTGTAGAGCTGTATCTTTCTTTTATAAATATGATAAAACTAAATAATTTTTGGAGATATGAAGGAAGCAGTACTACTCTATAGGTACTCAAGATTAACATGAGATTGGGTGAAACTGTGTGTGTTATGCCCCCTTTAAGTGTCAGTGTTGGATACTCATTTGGAATATTCTTTAAATATTTGATCTTGTTTTGGTGACACCTGCAGAAGCCAGGCTAGGATTGTGTCGGCCCACTGTATCTGAAGTAATTACATCTGTCAATACATCTGTCAATTTCTGTGGTTTAATGAGAGAAAATAGCTGTTCTGTTTTCTTAGGGTCAGAGGATTTTCTCCGTCTTTCCTCTTTATGTTCCTGAGGGAATGGTGGAACACTTGGTTTGAATTAAGGGATTTCGTTAGTCATGCTCCAGAGGTTTGATGCTTTTGTGGTACAAATTGGGCACTTGCCCAACACACTATATCCTGGAACAAGCCAATTAGAAAGAGAGACTAAGTGGATATTGGCTGTATACAGTCCCAGTACACATTAAGGAAAGTTGTTGTTCGTAGTAATAAGACAAATAATTATATCTGTTCTCTCAGCATTGGCTCTGCCACATTCAGTTGTTTGCATAGAAAACAGCAGTTGATCAGCAAGAGCAAAGGATTCAGAGAGAATGGAGATTAGTGGTCGACCGATGGGCATTTTTCAAATATCGGCATCGGCCGATAAGTTTTTCTGCCTGGCCGATGTGTTCGAAGCTTAGGTTAGGTTAACCCTAACCCTAACTTTTATTTTGACGGCGCTGAGAACGGCAGCGCCAGAGCACCCAGTGCTCACATTCTCCCTCTTCATTGTTTGTTGTCGTCATTTAACAGTTCTGCCTAATACAGATAGAAGTCTGTTTAATAATCAGATAGAACTGTTGAAAAAATTAATTAAAAGGTATACAAAAAGTATTATAACGATTGCTTTTATATTATTAGTAACAGAAAGGCAGACATAATGCTTTCTCATTTGTCGTCAGCATTTAGCAAATACGCATATCATTTAAACAAACCTTTAAATTACTAATGAACATTTAATTTCACAAACCTTGCAGACTTAGTCAAATCCAGCTGTGAGATCTTGTGAAGTGTGCATTTGTATATTGCCTGATCATGTGTGCTCTGCGTGACAGTC